TTTAGGTTAATAAAGATGGCTTGTTTAGAAAAAAGTTAAAATCAATATAGAACAGTGAGTTTATTAGAAGGATCAGTTTAGACAGGCATGGTATAATCTAAAGACTGAGAATTCTAGTTCCTGAGGACTTTCTAATAAAGGAAAATAAATTGTATTTCAGTCCTTATCTCTCTTACTCTTCTACCCTCTCTGGTTTTTGATACTGGATCCTACTTTGTAGCCCAGATTGGCCTGGAAATAGCAGCCATGTTCCTGTCTTGGTCTATTCCAACCATCTTAAGAGCTTTAGGCTGAGTCCGAGACCTTGTATACATGAACAATTCATGCTCATAGTTTTGTGTTCCTGAAAAGACACAGGCCAGCTCCCTTTGGCAGACTGACTAGGGATTGTTTTTCCACAGAGTGTGGATTGCACACCAAACAACCATGAACAGGTGAATAAAACAGCCTGTGTTAAATTCAAGGATGGTTTCAAGCTTTCTAGTACCGCTCTCCTCAGAAGTGGGGCCACATACCCTTCCTTGCAGCTTTTGTGATGCTTGACTGAGGGATGTAGCAGAAGTGAGGTTCTGGGACTCCCCAGGCTGGACTTCCTAGAAGGTCTACTCCTGGAACATCAAGTGGGACGTCTGGCTATGTGCAGGGGACCAAAGACAATGTGGACAGTCACAGATCTTCTTTTAAAAGATTACATGTGAGGGAGTCCCTTTGGGATCTTCCAACCTATTGGCCAGATAGATATCATCACTTAATAAACTCCATTGACACTGTATGGAACAGAAGAATCATCCAGCTGATTCCAAACTAAATTCCCATCATAAAGTCAAGGTCTGGGTCTTGGGTGCTTTGTGATATATCAATGGAAGGTGGATACACACACAGATGGATTGTCGGACTCAAGCCCAGAGGCCAAACCAGCTGCTGATCAAGGGTGTTAGCCATGGTTCAGTCAACCCACCTGTGTGGCACAGATGAGACTCCGGGAAATATGTTCCTACAGGCCATCTGTTCTAAATGTTTTCATTGAAACTGAATACTTCCCTTTGTGAACACTGGCTGCACACCAGTGGTGCCAATGTGCCTCTCAGCCTGGTGAGTGCCAGGAGCACCAGCAAACTGTCTGGATATGGAAGCTGTTGCAACGTTTATGGGGTCAGCCTGGGGACAGAACCAGCATGATCTATATTCTTCAAAGGTTGTAGCTTGGCACAAGGACATGTGAACTCAATTGATTAAACCTATACTATGAGAGGTGACTATCTCTGGGAAAGCAGTGGGTTAAATTTTTGGCTGTTCTTGAAATGGAAAGTGATTGTGATTTTGTTGGGGGGGGGTGTACCCTAATCCTAGCAAGCTGTTTTCTTGGCTTTGTGCTATGGAGCAATTTGAAAGTGTCAACGTGCTTTCAGTATTTTTCAGTCACTCAAGTCTGCAACTGATTATCTTTTAGATTCATGGTCCAGGAGCTCTTGTCTTTCCGGGAGAGGTTTCACCTTGAAAGCTGGTGCCCAGATTCAGAAGGCGCCTCTCGCCACAGCAGCAGGAGCAAACAGCTTAATTGCAGCTTAGCTCCACAAGGACCAGGTGTTTTGGAAAATCACTGATGGCCTAACTCTGAGACAACCCAGATTCACTTTACCTTGTCTCACAGAAACAAAACACAACCTCCCCTGCAAGCAGAAAAACAAAAACAAGCCCTTTCAGAAACTGTATCCTCCCAACTAAAGAGATACCTAGACTGCTCAGACCTATGGATAAACACACACACATAAATACACATACACAACACACACATCATACAGATACACACACACACACACACATAAACACACATACACAGCACACACATCATACAGATATACACACACACATACACAAAACAAAGGTATACGCACAACAAACACAACACACACACCACACATACACATACACACACAACACACAGATGATATATACACAACACACACAACACATACACAGACACACACAACACACAGATGATACACACATAACACATACACAGACATACAACACACACAGACACACACATAACACACACAGACACACAATATGCACATAGACACACATACAACACACACACACACATATACACACACACATTTACTTAAGATAGAATTTCTCTGAAAGGAGCCCCAAGAACCTGATAATAATGGTTTCTTTGAGGGAGAATTGGGGAACTGGAGAAAACTGGGGTGGACAGTTGATAGAGGAGGAAAGCTTATTTTTCATGATAACCCCTTTGAACACCTAAAAGCTCACCCCCTCACTATACTAGCTCATCATAATAATGTATGTGAACCACGCAAACTTGGCTAGCACACTGGTAGTGTGTTGTGTTATCTGCGTATTCACGCCTTTAATCCTTATGGCAGCTTTATAGTTCAGACATCATTATCCTTCTGATTTTATAGACGAAGGAACTGAGGTAGACACAGGTAGGTAAGTTGTTCAAGGTCACGTAGCTAGTAAATGCAGAAGTGGGATCAAGAGTCAGGACGTCTGGGCCTGGAGGCTTTCCTCTTTACCACACAACATTGCATTTTCAGAAATCAAGCTCCTCCTCAGCTACCACGACAGAACTGGGATAAAAACAACTGTTCTTTTCTCAGTTGATTCTCGAGAGCCACAGGGGTAGAGGTGATGGTGTCCCCGAATAACCCACAAACAACTCCTTGACAGCCTCAAGCCCGAATAGACTTTCGGGGGCTTTACAACGGAGTCTTAGTGGCCATGATGTGCTGGGCGCTCTGCTAGGCCTTGGGGACAACTGCTGAATGGCACAGCACCCATGCTCTCAAGAACCTGGGCACTAGGAAACAACCAGGGGGACTGCAAGAGGTGCTGGAAAGAGAACAGAACGGGAACATGCACAGGTGAGGGTTGGAGGCCCTGACTTGTGCTGGGTGGTCAGCGGGCTGAGGAGAGGAAGGGAGGAGGACAAGGGAAGGTAGGACCCGGTGGAGGGAAGGAATAATGTTCTGGCGGTAGGAATAGCAAAGAGAAGAGACTGTTGAGAGCAACTCTCTGAATATGGGGCCTTCCTGCCTAAACAAAACAAGTCCAACTGAGTTTACAGTGAGAAGCACATCCCGGGGACCGTGGTGAGGGTTTCCGAGTTTTCCTAAGACCCCTGGTAAGCCACTAAAGCTTGTTACATAGGGGCTTACTCAATCCGGTTGACTTTTAATGACGACCCGGCTGCTGTGTGGGAAAGAGGTGGAAGCTATGCAAGAGGACCAGCTCTAAAGCTGCAGAGGAAGCAAGAAGATGGCTCAAAGAACATGATGGTAAAGGGCGAGCAGGAGGTACATTTGGAATCTCTGTTGGTTGTACAATAATCCATGGAAGGAGAATGATGTGGCATTGTGGTGGATCATAAACTCACAAGCATGAAAATGCTGTCAACTGTAAAATGTCCAATAAGGAAAAATGCCATGATAGATGAAGATGCCGGATTCTAGAGACCCTAACACGCCCAAAGTCACATGGCTGCATAGTGGGAGGAGGCAGGAGTAAGTGAAAACGATCCCTTCCCTCCTTTCACTGGGGATGAAAGAAAAGAAGGCTGGTGGCTGTGTCTGTTTCCCTTATCAACTGGACCACTGGGTGAACAGAGGGATGATATCGCCGCTGTTCCAACAGGGATCCCTTCCTGCAGTTAGAACCAGGAGCGGGTGGTGGTGGACGCCTTTAACCCCAGCACTTGGGAGGCAAAGCCAGGTGAATCTCTGTGAGTTCGAGGACAGCCTGGTCTACAGAGTGAGATCCAGGACAGGCTCCAAAGCGACCCTGTCTCGAAAAACCAAAAAAAAAAAAAAAAAAAAAAAAAAAAAAAAAAGAACCAGGAGCGTGAAGCATCAGGACAACTCTGCTCTAGGGTTAGAATGGGTGCTTTGGAACTGAACTGAAATGGGATGTGATCTGTGGTCCTCACTTATTCTGAGGAGATGCTTGTGTCTAATGGGATAGACAGGGCTTAGGGAGCTGGTCTTTGGACGCCCAGTTGTCCTTTATACCATATAAGTCTTTAGTACCTCTAGCTTGGAAAGACCATGGAAGAGGTCAATTTTTGGTAAGACCTCTGATGTATGCAACATGACTGATAATCAGATCTCCCGTGTGTGTTCAGTGACATGTGCCTACTTCTTAGTCTATTTCTGTCCTATGATCCCTTCCTTGGGAAGGATGACGAGATTCAGGAGAGGAAGGGTAGACTTGGTTGTATCTGACCCCCCGGCTTATGGCAGACCACTGATCACTTATTTAGTTATAGCAGATATCTACCCACTACAACAATCATATTTAGGATAGCTATGCATTGAAGAAAAAAGGTAGATTTGGCTTTGTGACTAAGTAAAACTGGAAGGACATGATACTGAATTCTTTGTGAGAGTTCTTACAGTTGCCTTGGTGTGTGTGTGTGGGGGTGAACCAGGCTTTTTGGGTCCTTGGTGACTGGTCCCAAGAAATTACACTGGGCTCTTTGAATGCTAGATGCTACTCCCTCCGCCAACGGCCAAAGAAATAGTACCATGTCACTGGTCTTCAGAGAACCTCATTCCCCAAATCATGCATCATCCTCCCAGGAATAGAGTTCTTTTTCCTATTCTTTTTAAGGTACACAATTTATCTTCACACACAACTTTGTTTTCCAAGTGATAAAGGGAAATACTGGATGAGAGGGAGACCTTTCTGTCCCTGCCTCATAACAAACTGTGATTATGCCAGAGGCATCAAAAGACAGAATCAGCACATGGAACTCATATTCTACTCCTGGCATAAAACCACCCTGCCAGGAACTGAGCAGTGGTGAATAAAGCACATGGCAGAGTCAAGGTTTCCACTAACGATGTTAACCAAGAGGAGTTTGATAGATTCGTGTAACCTCAGCATACTATGCTTTTTTTTTTTTTTAAGTGAAGTATTCGACATCCTCCTCTCCCCAAAGCAACGATCCCAAACCAAAGCCTAATGGTTACCTTCAGCGAGTGGGTCAAGGGTGTGTATCATGAGCTGGAAGATGCTATTCCTCATTAGACTGTTGTGGAGGGAGGCAGAACTTCCACCTCGCTGGAGGCGCGGCTTAGCCTGAGCGGAGAAACCAAAGATGCTGTTAGTTTTCAGAAATGAATGTCAAGTGCATCATAGAGAGGAGCCTCATCCACCCTATGGTCAATCATTTCCGTTACATGATCATAAACAGTTGAACCAAAGAATTTCAAAGTACATTTCAAACGTCCCAAGGAAATAGCTTTTTTACTAAATGAATCCATTTTCCCCATGCCCTGCCCCCTTTTAACAAAAGAAGTTAATATAAGGCAGGCAATGTGTGGCATGCTTCACACCATTCAGTCATTTCATTCTCAGAATGAGCCTCATGAAATCCATATTGTTAGTATTAACTTGAAGTCTCTGAGAAGTGAAATGAGGTTCTGGGTCATACAGACAGAAAATGTTGGATAGAGGTGGGGATTCCAGGCCTGCTTTTCTTAAAGACTCTTTATAACGGAGCAGACAGTCTTTAGAATTTTTGGATTGTGCATCCCATCAGCAAGATCTTTGTTTCTATTTGTGTTTATGACAACAGATGTGCCTCCACCCATATCATCTCACACATCTTCTAGCCTCTGATCCAGAAAGCTCCGTGGTCCACATTAAGTGAGAACCTGAAGGCGAGTTTCCTGTTGTGGCTCCATGCAGAGACTTCCTCAGAAGCCTCCTTGGCACTGAGTCCTACTAGTTGTGATCTTTTACTCCAATAACTGGGACTGAGACATGAGGACCCCTAGTGAGCTTCAGGAGAGAGGGTTACCAACAGACTTTTACTCTTTTCTTCAAAAGCAAACAGTTTTAAATCAAACCAAAGCCACCCAAATCCTCTTTATTTGAACAGCTTTTAAATCCTGACTAGAAATGACTTTCTTCTTTGTGGTTGACTTTTTGGTGGTGACCACAGTGGAATTATAAACAGACTTGAGGATGCCCTGGCTGTCCTAGAACTCACTCTGTAGACAAGGCTGGCCTTGAACTCACAGACATCTGCCTGCCCCTTCCTCCTGAGTGTCACTATTTTTTTTTTTAATTTAACTCTTGTTCCAAAAACTTGACAAGAAAATTTTCTATGGTCTGACAAAATTAAAATCCTGTTTTCACCAAGTCTTCTAAACTTCTCCAACACAGATTTTTCCATGAGACTCCACAATTAAACACATTTGGACAGGGTGATGTCTTTTAGAACAACTCATCTTTGGAATATAGTAACACAAAAGAAATAAGGTTCCAAGTTATTGACCTTACATCTCTTACTCCAGAAAATACTTATGGTCATGGTTCAAAAATTTGATGGTCAACCTAAATAACCTGTTGCAAGATTGAAATATGAGTAAAATACCAGTGTGTAATACAAGTAGAAATCAGCAGTGATTTTATTATAATTCATATCCTTTAAAGCTGTATTTCCAACCTATCAGAGTTTGGCAATGAATGAAGGAGAATACAATACTGGTGTCTTAGTTAGTAATGAACAGCATTTTGAGCTTTTCAAAGGCAGCCTGGAGTTTGAGCTGTACCTTGGTCTTGAGTCTAGTGTATCCTCTGGGTGTCAGTGAATGTCATATCTTTGCTCTGAGTGTTAATGGAAGGAAACATTACAGGGTCACAAACATTTTCATGGCTATCCCTTTCATCCTTAAAAGCCTGTAACATTTTAAAATGCACTGTGGCATTTAGTTGTAGGGGATTCAGATAAGCAAGGTGGAAAATGTTCTGGGGCAAAGGTAGCAGACTTAAATCCAGTGGAGATGTAATAACTGTCTGTTGAACATGAAAACTCACAAGGTCACTTCCTTGTGAGGCAGCACAATACGAAATGTCATGTGTTAATTGGAGAGCAACTGAAAATGTGGTTTTAGTAATTTGTCATAATAACCACTGTAAGTATGGTTGTTATTTTGGAAAACCACGAGAACTCTGTTGTGTGTATCTTCTTTAGACCTGAATTATGTCTATGGAAGACACTAAGCATTCTTTCAGGCAGTGTTGGGTATACTGAATATTTACATCTCATGCAGCATTCCAGAGAGGTTGTGCATGCAGACATATAAAGAAAACATTTTTCAAGCATTAGATCCCACACTGTCCCCACATATCAGCCAGCATCCCTTGGAATGTAGTTTAGACATTTCTTACCCCTTTACACTTATGAAAGTTTGTGTCCAATGGAAGAAAGAATTCAAGATTTTGAGACATAAGACCAGAAATAAGTTATGAGTGAGTGCCAGAGTTCAATTGTTACTAAGTGTAGAACAGAAATACAGCCCCCCCTCTGGTGGATTAAACCATAGGTATTCCAAGGGAGAGGAAGATTTGCAAGCACAGAGCTCCCTTCCCACGGGCCACACATGCCCCACAGGCACAGGGACAGGCAGGGCGACTGCTCCCTACCGGTAAAGCTGGCTCTTCCTTGTCCCCTGCTGTAGACGACTGCATGAGAGGAAAAGGCAAAACAAAAGACAGAAATAAACAACAAATCCCACACAGCCTTTACATTTAACATCAATCACCAATATAGAGATGGTTATTTCTACTTTTGGTATGAGTTAAGTCCAAGTAGGGGCACACAGTTAATTTTTTTTTTTCAGATATATGCCCCATTCCCTTGAAAAGTCAAACTTGAATTTCCAACTCTGATGTCTAGTAAGTAGTTTGCTTTGACAAAGGTAAGTAAGTACTATCTTAGTGTATGTAAAGAAAAAGATTCTGCAAGAATTAGTGTTATGAATGGTTATTGTTGGGTGACAGGATTACAAGGAAATGTCACTTTTTATGTTTTGGAGGGAGTTTATATCCATTGCCCCATACATGGTGACTGAAATAATATCCGAGGAAATTAGGCCATGGATTAAAGACCAGGATTATCACACATGGAACCCAGACAACCCACCATTTCTCCTCTCCATGACATTTTACAATGGAACCCAGACCACCCACCCTTTCTCCTCTCCCTGATATTTTACAATGGAACCCAAACCACCCATCCTTTCTCTTTTCCCTGACATTTTACAATGGAACCCAGACAACCCACCCTTTCTGTCCCCACCATTTAACAATGGAACCCAGACCACCAACCCTTTCTCCTGCCCCACCAATTTACAGTTCCTATTCTACAACAGAAATCTCTGTTCAGGTAGGAAATGTTGACTAGAACAGAAGGCACATAAAAAGGTCAGGTCATCCACCTGGGAAGAACACCAGAGACACTGGAATTCCATTGGTGTGACCCACCTGGATGACTTTGCTTCCCCATCTCAAATGGCATTTCCTTCTTACATAGAGTGGGGGCCATTCTGGGGCCTTTCTAGTGATGTACAGGTGCTTTGTAGGCTCTGCAAGCTCCACTGCCCCTGTCATTTTACCCCAATCATGGGTGGCTACAGCAAGAACAAAGCAGAACCTCAGCCCCCTTCCCCTGGGCAACCTCTGGTAGGGAGCAGCAGACATGAGTCTGTGGTAATGATAACATATGTGAGGAGGGGTGCAGGGCTGTTTAAAAAATCTTCACCAGCTGCATACTCTCCAGTTTTAGGTCCTGCACACACGTCATATAAAGAATGTTATGCTTCCATATTCCACATGCAATGTGTTCCCCTGTGGGAAAGATGGAGAGGATCCTTTGAAATAGAAATGGCTGGCTATGTGCCACTTATGATTGGCATGCTCAAAATCTTAGAAAGTAAGAAAATTAAATCCACACTTTGTTCTCATGTGTGATATAACAAGATAAGTTTTGATCTTTAAAAATATATTTATTTTATGTGTATGGGTGTTTTGTATGCACGTATGTGTGTGTATCATGTGCATGCCTGGTACCCTCAGACATGGGTGTGGGGTCCCCTGGGACTGGAGTTATAGACAATTGTGAGTCACAATGTGGGTGCTGGGGACTGAACTGGGGTCCTTTGGAAGAACAACCAGTGCTCTTAACAACTGAGCCATCTTTCCAGCTCTATGTGTGATATAATTTTTAAGACTAATAAATTTGTTACTTAATAAAGTTGATATTAAATATTTCATAGACATTCAATCAAATATTTAATGATCTTTAATTTTGTTGAAATGCCTTTTTGGACCCTGGAATCAATGGAATGTATGTTCCCTTCTGTTTCCAAACATTGTTACAGATCCATGTAGAACTTGTATGTGTCAAACACAGACAGACAGACAGACAAGTTCTGGGTTGGTAGTAATTTTCCAGCACAGCCTGTGGGTTTCAGTAAATTTGCCATAACTTGTTCTTTGGGGGTTATCTCTCAGTGACATCTTGAAAAGTACCATAAGAAACGATCTCGGATGCCCTAGTTGCCAAGAAGAAGCTTGGAAATGGAAGTGGACCGGAAGTTGTCCTTTGATTTCTCTCTCTGCTCTGAAAGGCGCTCTGTGAGGCCGTTGCTCAAAGGCAAGTTCTTTGTTCTTCCACATCAGACAGCTCAACAAATGGCTCCACATTCTACAGAGTAACCCTTGGGGGACCTTTCCAGCGCAGCTAGCTTAGCCTTTGGACATACACGGAGACTAGCTGCCAGAGCACGCCTTTACGGTTAGCAAATTTATACCTGGTGGCTAAATGGGGAGCAAATAACTATGAGCCTGACTGATATCCCAGCTAGAGCACAGAACATAAAAGAACAGAATGAAACCAAGGAAGAATAAAGGGCGGGCTTTAGAAGAGCAAAACTCCTCAGCCAAGAGTCTGAATTTTTAAAAGTGAATGTAACGAAATTATTTGAGGAAGGAAAAAAAAAAACCCAAACTACATTTTGGCCTGAATGAAAGAAGAAAAATATTTTCCTCACTGATTTTTTTTTTCTTACAAGCTAGAAGGATCATAAAGTAAGTAAGCTGAAGGAACACGCCCAGCACAGATTCTGTACAGGGAAACCTCTGGAGCCTTTACAAGATGTCCTGCTGTGTAAAGTCAACAGAAGTGTTAGTTTTCTTTCAAGTCTGATTTGCAGATGTGAATATGCATCAGGTTTGTAATGGCATGTAAATGTAGGTGACACTGAAAAGTGTGACATGTGATAAAGACCACGTCCTGCCCTGCGGCGATTGCTGGTGCTCATCTCACTTAGGCTCCCAGTCCTGACGGTGCATTACTGACTGAGTTTGGAATTCAATGGTGAAGGGCTTTAATGACCCCGAAGGTAAACAATTGGAAAAGAAACTGTGTATGGTTGTGTGCCATGTGTATGGCCAATGGGTTGACATTGGTGTCACAGATTTATTTTCAGGGCTATAGAACACCTGAGAAGTTTATTGTATTGTATGTTAAATAAGACTGGTAAAACTTCAATCTTGGTGTTCTTATAGTGCGCTTTAAAAAATATAAATTTTAACACAGTTCACTGTCTTTTGATAATATATCAATACTATCAATTCTGACTGCACTAACTTGAAAGCCATGTTCCTGTGGTCAGTTCAAAGACTGACATACAGGAGAGGTCTGTTTAGCCAGTCTGTAGCACACACAGCGATTCTCCAGCTTATTTAAGAGACTTCCTAGAGGACATCCTGAAGGGGCTTAACTGACCAAAGCAGGCGCCTCTCTCCTACAGTAACAGGAACCAACCAGGCCAGGGTGTTGGGAAGAATTCTGCAATTCAATTTTTTATCTAATGTAAATGGGTCCCTCCATCATTACTCTAAATTAGTCATGTGGCGACTACATTGAACTTGAGCAACTGGAATCATACAGTATCTAATGTCTTTCTTAGAGAAAATGCTACTTGCACATGGGAATTTTATTAGCTACTTATGTTTTGAAAGTGCTCTGCCCCCAGATGATAAAACTTATAACCTGTTTGGAAGAATTTTAGATAGACATCCCCCTCAAGTCTTTAAATAGTTTTTGTTTGTTTGTTTGTTTGACCCTGAGAAGTCACTGGCTGGGAAATGGTTTCACTGTATGGCACATGCAGTTTTGATGTAACTCTGTACACAGCATTACTGCTCCTCTGTTCTTTTCCTGGCATGTGAAAATGAGAAAATGAGGCAAATATTGCATAGTCCAACTGCTTTGGACCACACAGTGAGACATGCCTGTGGTTCACTCTTGACTTGCAATTACTTGCAAATTGTACAACCAGGTTGGTCACCATGAAGACTTCACATGCCAGCTGACAAGTCTGGAAAATGAGAGGTGGTTTTCTAAGCCAGTGACTGGGTGTAGGACAGAGCAGAGAGAGGAACATTCTGAATGCTGCAGCAACAGTCACTAACTTCCATTTCAAACCTTTTACCAAGCCCCATGAAACATACCAAAGACCAGGCAGCAGTATAAATAAAGGACATGTAAACAAACTTAAAGGTATTTTTTTTTGGTCATAAATGTGACCCAAGCCAGATATTCTAGAAATTAAAAGGTGAATCTGATCTTTAACTGACATTAATTTTAACATTTCAGGATTGAGCAAGAGGTGACTTGACTGAATGACATTTATTAAAAATGATGTATTCCTTTTCTGTCAGTGTACTTTTCTGTAGCAAAACCACGTTTAAATCATCTTCCTCAGATAAAGCTGGATAACCTCAAAGCCTACTAGGAAGAGGAGGTAACAGGCACAACACCTCAAACTTAAAAGGAAGGAAAGAAGCCCTCCCACTTCTAAGATGGAAACCCATCTCCTGGTCCCACCTTCTACCAGGTACCAGCATATTCCTTAAGACACCAACAGAGGGCAAGTTAAGTAATTGCTTAGCGGAAAAAAAAAGAAGAGACAAAAATTCAGATGATTTTGGACTGTGTACTCATGTCACATTTCCTGTCAATCCTTCAGGAAAGTAAAAATAAAAAAAAAAAAATCCTGCCTGAAGCTGGTAGCCCTGGATGACCCAATATCCCCATCACAGTTCTGCTTTACAGAGACATCAGATGGGGGAAAAGCTAGAAATGCCCCAAGTAAGAAATGTTATCACAGAAGCCCACACTCTAAAAGCAAAGCCGTTTGATCATTTGTTCGAATAGATCATCTCCATCATCATGAAATATTTGGGGCAGTAGAAAGAGATCTGAAAATAGATAAACCTTGAATAGAGAGAGTAGACAATAAATTGCCTGGAGAGAGTTAGAGAACATCATTTTATTTTTCAGATTATTGTACAAGAGAATAAATCAAGTCAGCCGAGAAGTGGTAGCACATGGAATTCAGGACCAGTGTTGGATGCTTGTGTGTTTTTTGGCCTGTCTCTTCTCAGCTATATGACTTTGAGGAAGTGATCTGATTGCTCCATGCTTTAGCTCCTTCATCTGTGGAATGGGGATAAGAATATCTGACATAGAGTGCTGTTGTGAAGGTTAGGTGACATGCATGTCTGAAGAGCTTCCACAAGACAACGGAATAACAGCTTAAAGTAGTTCGAGGCTGTAAACTAGACTTGGAAGCAGGGTGGCTTCTATGGGAAGGAGGCAAGTTCATTGATGAGGG